TCTTCCCACCCTCTCTGGTTCCAAATTTTCATTCTATTGAAGGAGCAAATGCAGCAATAAACCAAGGCTTGCCCCAGGGGGGCTCACACACAGTGGTCAGGGGTGCAGAGGGAGACAGGTCTTTGGTATGTCACCCTTGTTTGCATTTGTGGTTGGTACATGTGTATGCACACGTGTTAACATGTTAATATGAACGTGTGGGGGACAGGGTGCCTCCATGTGTGTGTGGGTGGAAGGAGTGGTAACTCCGGTGTTATCATTACATGTCATGTCCATTGCTCTGTACAAGTGTGTGCACATACAGGCACTAGCTGGAAAATGGGAGTACGGGTGGATAAGTCTGCAGGTTTGTCCTGCCCTGTCAGTGTGGATTATCAGTGGACTAGAGCTTTGTCCCTGGGCACCAAGTCCCTTCTCATCATGATGAGTTATTGGGCAGCAAGCAAGATCCTCCTCCCCAGCTGCTCCAGTTCCAGTGTGGTCCATTCTCACCCAGTGCAGTTTTCATCTGCCAGGCCCCTGCGGAGCTGCGGCCCTGTTAGCAGTGGATGAAAGGTGAGCCATGTGTTTGCGTTCATACAAACGAGGTCATTTGTTACATCTAGGGGACCAAGTTGGCCTGGTGGAAGGCAGCTGTGGGGTACAAATGCTCTTGAGAGGAGTGTGAAGAGGCCCAAATAATGCCCTGGTTTGTGATGGGGCAGAAGTATCAGGTCCTTTTTGTCATCAATTGGCTTTGCACTTGCCTCCTGGCTCAGCTGTTTTCAAAGGGGCTGTGCTTGAGGGTCTGGAGACATGACCCCTGCTGTAAAACACATTCACTAAAGAGGACTAACAAGCAAACTGGCCATGGACTCTGTCTAGAATAGAGGAGAAGGCAAGCATCTCTGGTCCAAAGCTGGGCTCCTTGCATGCTTTTGCTCTAGTTAAAATTGTGCAGCCACCCTGCAGTGCAGAGGTATTCCAGCGTGGCTAGCACACTAACTAGCCTTTTATTTTTATTGGTATAACCTATGGTTTTACACACAGGGCCTTTGAATAGTGCAGCTATTTCAGTAACCCCTGCCCCTGCATAGTTCTACCAGCAAGGCTTTCAAGCACAGCCCAAAGAACAGGCTCAGAGGGGGGTTGTCTACAGACCAAAGACTCAATTGTGATTCTCACATGTACAGCGATGACCTGAGAAGTGTCTTCCCTGGCAGGCATAGGCACTGTGCTGGGGCTGAAGTACCCCACATGCAGGACTGCTGGCCTGTCTAACGCTTGCTTGCTTTAGTGCGTTGTGAAGGAGGGT